GGGAAACTTGCTAACTGGGGAATGGAGATCAGATGCAATCTTGCTTTTCACTCTATACCCTTTTAATCTTTCAATTTTTTCATCATAGGCATTTATCACCTATTCAAAAAAAAGGTAGTTTTATTTTAAAAGAAAAATTTTAAAGATTCAACTGGAAAGCAGAGTATTCCTCTCTCTGATATAAGCAATCCTTTTAATAGTCACAATACTGTAGGAAAATTAAAATAGTCTCCTAAAATATTAAACAGTATTAAGGTAATTAATCCATTCATAGACTTGATTTCCCAAAAGATATATAAAACACAGGAAAGGAAAAAATTTTCTTACACCTGTCTTTCTGTTTAATAAAGCTTATTGCCAAAGCCGACACATATTTTCAGGTCACTGTGAAACAGGCCTTAGGTGTGATCTGACTCTTCTTACTGACCAAGTGAGGGAACTAGAATGCTGGTTGGTGAAGATGCTTCCTCCACAGCCCCCACACTGATAGGAAAATACCTTGGTAGTCATTTCACCATTACCTCAATACAATACTTTTTAAAACTTTGACCAATGAATTATTTTTTTTTAATTTATTGTTGAAAGTATCACAGATGTCCCCCATTTTCCCCTCCATTGCCCCTTCCACCCACCCTAGGCCTTTCCCACACAATCAACTCTTTATCGAGCCACTATAGCCTAACATTCAAACATGAACTCTGACGCCAAACTGCTCTCTGCCACTTATATTCTGTGAAACCCTTCCCTTTGCTTCAGCCTCTTTTATGGACTAAATTGTATACCCTTAAAACTCCTTTATTGAAGCCCTAGCCCTTCCCCCCCAATGTGTTTATATTTGGAAATTGGGTCTTTAGAGAGGTAATTAGGGTTTAAATAAAGACATAGAGATAGGGCTCTAATCACATAGGGCTGGTGTCTCTATAAGAGGAACACACACAAGACTTCCCTCTCCCCACGTGTGAACTGAGAAAAGGCCAAATGCGGACACAGGGAGAAGGTGGCTGACTGCAAGCCAGCAAGAGTCTCACCAGAAACCAAATCTGCCAGCACCTCAATCTACAACTTCTGGCCTCTGGAGCTGAGAAAAGACATTGCTGTTTAATACCTAGTCTGTGGTATTTTGTTAAGGTAGCCCAAATTGAGTAATACAGACTCATTATTTGTAAAATAGGGATAGTGATTGTGAAGTACCTGGCAATTGTTAATTATTTTTCATGTTTTGCCCACTAATTTTTTAAGCTATGTTACAGTTTCAGATAATTAGACATTCACATCTTTTCTGTATTAAGACAAAAACTCATAAGACTTCAGAAGACTTGTTTTGCATTATTGGAGGGGAAGTTAAAAAAATGGTCTTCATTACTGGCAGCTCACATTATGAGACTTGGGCAAGTCTAATTATAGCCTTAAATATTTTATGAAATTACCCTAAAATAGGCTACTGTTTGATGAAATCATCCTCTTATTTTATTGACTAGCACTAGTTGCTATGGAACACTGGTCTGTTTGAACAACAATATTTTCCAGTTCTATGAGAAGCTGAACGTGTAGACTGACCTCATGAATCACTACTAGTGGGTGGTGATTCACCCTTTATTCACCAGTAAAGGAATAAAAAGTTTTAAATGCCAGTGAATAAACACACTAGGAGAGAAGGTAACACGAGATAAAGATGGTAATAATTTTTGCAAGATGGGGAAGTCGATGGGCGACTTCCAGCCTCACTTTGCAAGGCAGAAGGAGCTGACTCTCCTTTCCTGCAGAGGAGAGACCAGCAGCAGCAGGCAGACCTCTGCAGACTCAGAAACGGAAAGCATCGTGTCTGAAGGCCTGGTGAAAGACTGGCTGAAAAGAGGGTTGTCTGAATATAGGTGTAAGGAGCTGGTGGACCTCTGGGTCCTCTCCCCGCCCTGTGTGGACAGACTACTGATCTTCCCTTCCCAGCAAGAGTGAGAACCTGGAACCAGGGCCATCAGACCCTGGGAGGGCGGAGGTCAGTTACCAGTCAAAACAGGAAGATGAAGACGATATGAAGCATCTCCGCGTTTTCCCTTCTCAACCATTAGAATACTGGTAGCCCTGGGCTTCCACCCCCAGACAAGAAATTGGAAAATTTCTCCCTGTAGAAACTGATTCTCCCGAGAGAGATAACCTACAGACACTTTGCAGTTCTTACGAATATTCAAGCCCGTGAGACAGCTAGGCTTGCACACATGTCCAGGACATCCACACAGCTTTTTGGCTCCTGATTCTTAAATATAAATAAATAGCCACGGATCATGAGACATTAGAAGACTGTAATATGATTTGGAGAAACACAAATAAAGAAGAAAAAAAAAAAGTGGAGTAAACAGAAACACTACAGGGAAAATAGAAAAATACTTTTAGTAATGTAGTAGTCAAAGTTCTCCAGAGAGTCAGAACTTATAGGAGTATCAACATATGTACATCTGTGTGTATATATGTATGTGCGTGTATATGTGTGTGTGTGTGTGTATATCACATACCTAGTAAGAGTTCAAAAAGACCAGAGAAAACAGAATAAATTATCAAACCAACTTTATGAGAAAAACTTTCAGCGCCTCCCACTGCTGCGGGTGGATGTGAGGGATGGGGGCACACCCACCCGCAGAACCCCGCCGCGCCCACGAAGCCCTCCCACGGCCACAGCCACGGGCCGCCCGCGACGGCGCCAGGAGAGGCCGCCGAGCGTGGCGCGGGCACTGAGTGTCGGCCGGCGGCCACAGCCTCCCTTTGTACCACAGCTCGCAGCCACGGGCACCTACAATTGTTTCAAAGCGCGGAGATGGAAATGTCAGTTTACGTGGTTTCTCAGTCTTTTAGGGAGGACCTTTGGGGAAAGTCACCCAGACGGCGCAGGAACAGGTCGCTGTCCCCTGGCGGAGGGTAAGAGCCGTTTCTGATCCTTAAGGTCGCTGAAACATCACTTGCCCACAAAGGTGTGAGAAACGCCCTGGCCTCGGGGTCAGGGAGGCGGCG